AGACCTTCCCTTCCCTTCCCTTCCCCGCAGACAGCCCCATACCCAAGTGGCATCTCTCTCCCAAATCCCCACAGGACCTACAGGCTTTTTCATGTCAGTGCCCAGAGCAAGTCCCAGACATGCATGTGGCAGGAAACCTCTCAGAGATTTCCAGCATTCCTTCTTTGCAGTTTATGCACTGCCTCCTCTCTGGCTCCCCACAGGATCAAAACTAGTGGCCCCTGAGGAGTCTGGGGAAGGTGTGCAGCAGTTCTTCCTCCCCAGTTTGAGAATGGCCTCCCATCACCCCACGCTTGTTTCTGTGGATGGCAGGAATATGCTGGGAATTGTCAGACACCAGGTGAAAATGCACCCTCAAGCGCCTTCAGGGAGCTTACCTGTGTAGGGGCAAGCAAGGGAAGTGAAAAAACAAGCTCTTAAGGAAGAAAACAAAATGCCCTGAAAAATATGTGTCAGTGTATTAGTGAAACTTCTCCCACCCCCGTTCTTAATCTAGAAGGTAGGTAGGAATTTCCGTGATTTGGAGGTACTTTCTAGGAAACAAACTGCTAGAGTGAGGCGATTTAAAAGGTCTGCCAGTGCTTAGACTCTTGTTACTGACTGGTTTTAAAGAATCAGCTCCCTGAAATGGGAATCATGATCCTATCTGAACTGAGTTCTCGTTTCCACGTGCAGTCTGAATGCATCCAGTAAAGTTGTGGTGGGTGCAGCAGAAAAAAGGCGTATGATTTGTGCTCCTTTCCTATCGGGAATTCAGCACCACTGCAGCGTTTCAGCTCTGAAATAACAACCATGTATGTTTGGAGACGGTGCCTCCTTTGAGAATGGTTCTGTAACTGCAGTATTAAAACACAGGACTTGTCATGAATCTGGGGGAGAGAAAAAAGCCCCACAAAAAAAAGTAGAAAAAACTTAGAGAAAATTTTTAAATACAACTCACAGAGGAGGCATGGTTGTCTATTAAAAATTTTCTCTAAGTTTTTTCTACTTTTGCAACTTGGTTATAATAACTCTCTCTGTAGAAAATCCTCAGAGACTAGGTTTCAAAATTATTTTTATACTGGAATTGTACCTAGAGCACTTGCAATTTGTGAGGTCATGTTAAGTGATTCATGGCTAATCCTTAGGGGCATATTGGCTGTAGAGCAATTTCAATTAAAAGTTTCATTAAATGCTTGAATGGTGGTCTACAAGCAACTTTGAGGGTTGATGATGCTCTGTGATTAAATTTTTATACTTGTATTAATTTTTTCTGTTACTATAGAGTGTCTTTCAAGTCTCCCAGACATTGGAGAAATTTTAAGACACCAGTGTCATTATGGAGAGAAGGAGAGGGGGAGAAAGGAGGTTGCTCTGATGCGTGTAGCACATCCCATGAATAAGCAAGGCTCGTGCCTGATTCTCCATTGCTTTGCACCTTGCATAATTATTGACATTTGTGTAAAAAGGCTGCAAAATTATATTGTATTACCAGGGCAACTGCAGGTCAAAGCAACACATTACTGCTGTAGGTTCCACCACTGAGGCTGTCTTTTCTCCGAAGAACTTCATCTCAGTTTAACTGTCATAGATTTTCTCCACTGAGAGACATCAAACAGTTTTGGTTTCTAAGATACCAAAAGATACATCTTCAAATCAACATTTTACTGTTCATGCACAAAAAGCTGCATAAATGAAATTAGTCTTGAGTGAAAATAGCTCTAGCTGTGATTTCTGGGCAAACTGTAGTTTCACCACATTCATAGTAGCATACTCTTAAAATAATCCACCTATGAAGCAAAGAAGTCATAACTCTTGGTGTAGTACTGTTTTTTAAAAAAAGTCATTAAAACTACAGGGAAATTCAGATTAATTTATGCAATTTATTTGTGTGCTTGTGATAATCCATTTTAAATTCAAGGAGCAAGCTCTTAATTCTAAGCCTTGTAATATATTAAACTCTGAAATTCAGGCACTGAGAATATAATAATTTATTAATAGGATAAAATGATCAGGAAGTATTAAAAGATCTGAATTTTTAATACTCTTATTAGCCTTTGTGCAAGAGATGAATCAGTTGTCTTGATGTATTAATAAAATAATACTGCAGATGTTCACTCTTCGTAAGAGTATATTGTAAACTAACTAGTTGGGATAGGTTGGTTAAAATACAGGATATAAAATACTACTCTGATAGTTATATTAACTATACCCAGAGTACAATTTTTTGAGACATTGGCAGAAGACAATTTCTAAACAATACTCAATCGTGACCCAGCCACAGATACTCAACAACTGTTTATTGGAACATCCTGTTGCAAAAACAGCCTAAGGCTAGGTAGATGCAAAGCCAAAGGAGATATCTAAAACTTCTTTAGATGAGTGTGGAGATTTACCCACAATGTACATTCAGATTTTAGTTATGTAAAATAACATCTATTTGTTTGATTTGTTATTGCAGTTCTAGAAAGGTTGAAGAGGATGAATATGAAGATGGAACAACTAACCAAAAATGGGTTTTAGCTCCAAAAACACAAGACACAGATGTGACTCTCATACTAAACAAGCTGTTGAGAGAGTATGACAAAAAGCTGCGGCCAGATATTGGAAGTAAGTACTACTTTCTGTACAAGTGAGGGGAAGCGTTTATGGGTGCAGAAAAGACGTTATATTTTGGTTACTGGGCACAAATGTCCGGGAAAGTAGAGGTTTGGTGGTTTTTTTTCCTGAAGTTCATTTCCAAGTCAACAAATGCTAATTCTCATGGGAAGGTGTGGTGATAATTTAGGGTGCTGAACTATGTTTTGCTTGTACACAGTTTGTGTAGAGATATGGAAGGGCTAGCTTTAAAATATTCAGCAGGTCTTTGGCAGAGTTAGGAACATACTCTTTTATCATCCAGCCCATGAATATGACAAACTCACGTTCTGAGAAGCGATCAAAACCTGAACATATTAAAAACAAAATGTAGGACACAGCAAGAGAAGAATGTGCATCTACCTTCTTCAAACTGTGATTATGAAAGTTACATTCCTTAGTGATGAGAAGGTGGCACTAGGATTTACCTTTGTATAGGGCAACTCTAGAGATTTTCCTCCCCACACCAGCAGATATGTTATCTGCAAGAGAAATCTGATATAATGGAAGTGTCTTGTGGGCAGTACTACTACGTATAAGTATACATGTAGATAAGAGCCAGTAGATACCTGCATGTAACAACTCTGAGCTCTTTTCCTCCTTTGTTTTTTTTTAATTTTCTTTAATTTGTATAATGAGGTTGTGCATTTCAAACCAGTGCTTTTTTACCTTTTGTGGGTATACCCTGTTTTCTTCGTTTGAACCCTTAGGTCAGAATGGCTATAGCACAACTGCTGCTTAGTTTGTTCATGGCAAGTTTGTTTGACAGAAATCGGAGACAATTTATCATTTACATGTACTGTACCTTGTATACACTTCAGAGTGAACAGGGAATGCTCAAAACAACCACTTAATATAATTTTCTTTTTCTAGTTCTTTTTCAGAGATTAGTGGGGGAATCCTTACCGATTATAAGTGAAACTATATTTGCTGATGGCACACGTATTGATATACTTTCTAGGGGATCCCTTTGGGTCCTTACATGGAAGAGCCATCTGTATCTATTCACCATTACAATTATTAAGTTTCTCATAGCTACACATTAATATTATAGTTTCAGGAAAAAGCCTATGCTGTAATATGAAATAAAACGGGATGTTTGTGGGGTTTTTTTTTTTATAGCTCTTACTTTGATTTTCTGTAGTATTTGCAAAGATCATATTTGATACATATGTCGGTTTTTAACGCAGAGTGACATTTCTCTCTCTCTCTCTCTCCATATCTCTCTCTCTCCTTAGTTTATCATACTGGATTTAGCTGATTTTTAGTATCTGATAGAGAAGTGCTTTAATGCAGTTCCCCACTCATATCAATATCTGAACATTCTCAGACCAATTTTTTATTTTACTTTGTATACCATGTCCTCAGATCACTGACTTCAGGCAGAGTAAATTATGTTATGCCTATGTGGGGCAAAGTAATCACTCAAAGTCCCCCTGTCAGGTGCCATAAAATCAGTAGAGGTCAGATATAGCTTACAGCACTGGAAAATCATTGTTACCGAAATAATTCCTTTTGTGTCTCTACAAACTTTCATAAATCACATTTTAGAGAAAAGAGTTAAATTACATAGCTCCTCATATATCCTATCAAAGAGAGATTTTTACAGTTCTCAACTACATCTATCTATTTCTATCAAGCATCTCAGTCCAAGGCCATTTTTCTCTTTGATAGGAATCTGGCTACTTCAGAACTTGAGCTGTGTGTTGTTCAGTTGCTAGAGAAGTTAGTTCACCCCTGGCTTCCTTCCCTGGTCCCTCTTCCCTCCTCTCCTGCCTTTGATGCAGATAAATAACACTGCTCTTTTGAAGCCAAGGAGCTGCTGCATTTGTCAAGGAGAACACAGGGGGAATGCTAGAGAATCAGGCATTATATCTAACTTCCCTGAATTGCTGGCTGGTGCCTTGCACATGAGAACATCTTCCTTTCCATCTGGGAGAAGATTATCCTCCAGAATAAATGGTTGACTTGTCCTGGAAAGTGAACTGTGTTCCTGCACTGAAGGTTTCAGTATTAATACAAATCACTTAAAGCATAATGCATAGCAGTTAAAGCACTAGAAAAAAAAAAAAAAAAAAAAAAAAAAAAAGTAGTGGACCAGGTAACACAGAGCACACAGAGCATACAATAAGAAAATGCATGTTTTGGAATTTATAGAAAGCATGAGATGAAACATTGGAGAGAGAAGTAATTCTCAGAACCAAGCAGAAGTGTAGTCAATAAAACATGCTGAGGGTTAAATCCAGGACTAGCATGCAGTCAGCTACTCATTAGGGCCTTTACATTTGTGCGGTGCTGCCTGTAAACAAATTGTCTGTCTCATAGGACAGGTGACACTCACCGTTTCATTCCATATTGCTCTTCACCCAGTTTTCCAATCCTTTATTGCAAAGCCCTATTTCTAACAGTGGATAACTTCAGCAATGCCCCTGAAGAAATGGTCTCCTCTCTGAATGCATCAAAAAAGCCTAGGAAAATACTTTGCACTTTCAAAGGTTAGGATTGCCATTTTTTAGGTCACTTGGGAATACACTTTTGCAAGCCAAAGGCCATGGGGAGAATGGGAGGAGACTGTCACAAAATACCTTCTGCAAATAGAAGGTATTGAACTGCATGCTGACCCGGGCAGTGATTTTTCCGTGGGCTTTCATCATTCCCAGGGCAGCTGATGTTTTGGCTAGCTCCTGGCACTGTACAGGCATATTCAGTGTCCACTTGCCAAACTATGGGCACTGAGTTCTTCAGTGATCATGTCACCTCCGGGTCAGGAGCGTGGCTGTCAGTGAATGAACCCCTGTCAACAGACACTCAGCCACCCTCCTTCTTCCTCCCCACCCAGCCCATCTAAACTACTGTAAAGAGTGTGTAGGTCAGTGCTAAGCTGCAAGGCATAACTTGCTCTTTCCTTTCTTCTTTTTTTCTTATGCTTGCCTATACTTGACCTAGACTTTCCTGTAAATGACTGTTGGTCAGATCACATGCTCCATCTACGCTCAGCAGTACAGGCATTATCTGCAAAGGTTCCGAGCCAGGATTTTGAAAGCGTGAATTGGACAACCTAAGTATTAGGCAAAACAGTTACCCTGTGAAGGCTATCAGCAATGTGACACGGTAGCAGGACCTGTCTTGCTAAAAGGGGCCTTTGGTCTTTGGAAACAAAGGAGAGTTCTACCAGCAGGGGACCGACTGACTGCATTCCCTGTGGCCACACACTTGGCAGAGTTCTTGTCTCCATAAATATCACAGCTTGTGAAGGTTTTCATTTTAATGGTGGCATCTGGCAGTTTTCCATTATACCACAGAACACTCATGCTTTTTGGAATTGAAAAAAAAAGAAAAGAAAAGAAAAGAAAAAAGAAAAGAAAAGAAAAGAAAAGAAAAGAAAAGAAAAGAAAAGAAAAGAAAAGAAAAGAAAAGAAAAGAAAAGAAAAGAAAAGAAAAGAAAACTTCACACTGAACAGCTTATATCAGTATACTGATTAGATCAAAAAGTATTTTATGGAAACAAAGCATCTTTCCCACCCACTTTTTACCAGTAACAATTATAGGGCTGAGAATTGTGGGTCTGTTGCATGGTATAAAAGGCACTAGTCCCAGATAATAAGTAAACCCATTCTGAACTATGAAGGTTTAAAAATCTCTTCCATAGGCAGGTACTCTGTAGTTTCTTTGTAGTTCTTTGACGTGAAGACTCATTCAATGGATATGCAACAAGTCTTACTACCCTGCAAGAGTGATTTTTTTTTTTTTTTTTTACCCCCATGTCACACTGGCTTAAATCCTGACATTTAGTTGGACTATGTTCTGGCCCTGAAATTTTGCTTCCTCTTTATTGATAAAATGAGAACAGAAATAATAGGCAAACCAACAGACCACAGAGTGGAATTATGATAATTACAGCTAGAAAAATCTCAGTCTTATTTGGGTTCTATTAATAAATCAGGTTTTTGCCACTGCTCTATTTTTGATTAACCAATTTAAAATTTGTTTCATTTAAAAAAAAAACAACAGTGAAGCAAGCCACAGGTAAATTAAATAGCACATGACAAAATATATTTCCTTCAGAGTCACTTTGCTTTACTGAAACCTTCCCTCTCACCTTCCTCAATGGACAACTTAGTGCACAATGGAGTCCTGGAAAATTGAGCTACTTTTATTACTCTTCATTGTTTTGTTCTTACTTTCATATGCAATGTAGGTTGCCTTAAACAGACAGAAAGTTTGTAGCAGTGTATTCTTCCAAAGTGAGTTTTGCCAATCACATTCCCTGAGTGAGCTTGACATGTGGAAGATAATATGCTAACTTTTTCTTTCATTGTGAAAGTCACCCTACCCATCTGAAAGGTTACTATGTGAGAGGTTTCTGAAATGTGCCATTAGCAGCGTGAGGAAAAAAATCTCACCTGAGACCAGGCTCAGGGCTGCAGAACTCATTTGGATAGTGAAGAGCAGAAAGTCTTAAGAGTTGCCTTTTGATAGGTAGCTGGTTTGCTCACCTCAGAGAGATCTTTTTTCTCTTGCTCATTAAGAAACAATAACTAACACGGGACAAAATTTCAGTGACAACAAGGCGTTATTGTTAAGATTACTTCACAAGCTGAGCTGAACTCCAAGCTTCCTTCTTATCTGAATCTGCCAATGTGAAAGAAAACATTTTATTTCACCAGTAATTTTTAGAGAACAAAACTGTTCCCTGAGCATCTCTAACAAGCAGTCCGTTACCTCAGCACTCCAATTTCAGTACAAAGGATATTCTAAAACACACATCCTGCAGTCTGACCAAGTGCTCTCCGGACTTCCTGTGATTACCTGCCCTTTTCCCCAGCTCCTGAAATACCTTCCCCAGAACACAACAGGTCTAGAATAAGGAGTTAAACACACACGTGTTAGGTATAGACAGAACTGCTGTCCACTAACTTTCCCCATGGTGTTCCTAATGTGAAGAAGTGGTGTTAGGAAAGTGATAATTTTCT